TCAAACAGTCAACTTCCAAGCATTCTCACTCCCATCACACTGCTTTCCGGCGATGCATATACCGCTCTATTCGCCCCGTCCACCTTATTCTCTCTAATACTCCATCCTTCATCACGGTCAGTCCTACTCGAGCTACATCCCTGTGTCACATTTGAAATCCGTCGTAAAGTTCAGCTTCATGTCTTGCAAATTTCTTGCAATCCTGTCTCCTACCTCTCCATGTTTCCCCTTCTGTCCGCAACAGATCGTTCTTACGCCGGTTGGAATTTTTCGTACGCGGCCTAGAGTGAACGACGGTCCGCGCTGTGCTAGTACTAATCAGAGAGTGGCGCAGTTCAATTCTAACTCAAAGAGGAGATACGAATCGTAGGTCCGGAGGGGATCGAAGTAGGGGAACCCCAAAATAAGATGGGGTGTTTAATAGGTCTTTATTGAGCGCTCCTTAGATCGAGTGAAATCAAATCATGGGAACGCTCTTGAAGCCCAGGAGCACGTTGAGACAACGTGAGTTTCTCGGAATGCAGAGCGCCGCACGCTAGTAGGATTCCTGCCATTCGGAAACAAAATGAGTGCCTCAAAGTTTTGTCGAGATGAATTCCGTAGTCGTTCTTGACTCTTTGGATCTGTAGACAGGGCTTGTGATTTCTGATTGTGGAACGGTGACGATGACTCGGGGACCTTCTAACGGAAGTATGACTTAGATTGAGTTTTCGGTACTGTTTTGCATCTCGTTCTACATGACTGATACTAAACTCGATTACGCCGAAGCCCGGAAGGCTTTCCTGTCGGCCGGACACTCCTGGCCTGAGCCCAAGCAGAACAGGTAGAAACGGGTCAGCCTCTAGTCTGCCACAAGTTGTTGTCTGCTGGTCTGAGCTTCTTGGTACCGACTCACTCAGGTTGTTGCGGGCGGCTCGGGGTGAGGAAGTAGATGAGATTCCAGTGTGGATAATGAGGCAAGCTGGCCGTTATTTACCAGAATTCAAGGAACTGCGGGCCGAGCATGACTTCGTTAAGGTAGCTTCGCACTACTATTGTCTCGACTAAAATTCCTCCTAGGTCTGCCAAGATCCGGACTTGGCCTCAGAGGTAACGATACAGCCCTATCGAAGATTCAATAAGCTTGACGCTTGCATTGGTAAGTCTAACTACATACGAAACCGAGTAGGGTAGCTTCGTTGTTTCACAGTATTTTCGGATATATTGACTATCCCGATGCTCATGGGTCAGCATTTGGAAATGGTTCCCGGAAAGGGTCCTGTCCTGAGTCCGAAGCTCGAGACGCCTGAAGACATCGAAAGGTAGTCTGCTTGTATTGCAAGGGGCTCTACTTCTAGGCTATTCACTTGGCAGGATCCTCAATCTCAAACCCAATGTGGGTGAAGGTTTGGCTTATGTGTATGATGCTATCTTCGCTACTGTCAGCAAACTCGAAAATCAGCTCACCGTCATCGGTTTCTGTGGTAAGTTATCGTGATTGTGATAGCACCGTCAGATGGACTACTACAGGTGCGCCGTGGTCCCTGTTTTGCTACATGGTAGAAGGCGGGGGCAGTAAGACT